GTGTTGGGGGGGTGTATGGGGGTATTGGGGGCGGGTATGGGGGTGTTGGTGGGGTTATTAGGGGTTCTGGTTTTTTGTGGGGTGCCGAAGCACCCCGACTGGTAGGTGCCGACCAGCCAACCGGTCGGCTGGTCGGGCATCCGACCAGTCAAGGGCCGCCGGCCGTCGAGGTATGCAACACTGGTGAGCAGGGAGAATCAGCATCAGGAAAAGAGGCTCGGAACTACTGGTGGTTTAATTCACTACTTTGATTCACTGACATGTTTAGCATTCCTTGAGATAGCAGCGCACTTACAAAATCTGACAAACCAGTCCACAACGGCACACCATGCAAACAACGAGAAACCTTGAAGGCAGGCAGAAAGAAAGAGTCACGAGAGTTACGGACAGGAGAAAAACAAGAGACAGCAAGAAGATGTTGGAGTCGGTTCGATCTGTCAAGATTACAGCATCACTCTGGCCAAAGTGCTTCAGAAGAGAAAATCGATGCACAAGGGCAGGATATTCAAAAAAACTCAGAGGCAAGGGAAAATAGACGGTCAGGATTTACGAGAGAGGCACAAACACCTGCCTTGTCTCTGAATGGTAAAAGGTGCGACTGTTCATTATGCACTATCAAGAGTTCAAATCCTGCTATGTAAAAACAAAAAAGATAAGAGCCAATGAGACAGCAGAACGTGTACAGGAGAAATGATGCAAGCAGCAACCACAACAGATAGGGAAGGGGCAAGGAGGGCAGTAGAGAGAAGAGTGGCAGAGAGAGGCAGGCCGGGAGGAGAAGATAGGAGAGAAGGGCTGGCAAAAGAACTGCAGATGCCACAAAACACAATCATAGAGGGAGGAGTTGTCATGGCAGAGGGGGAGAGACAACGCATGAGAGGATAAGCGTTCCAGAGAGGACGAAGGCTGGGTGGAGAAGAAAGGAGAGAAGGGTTGTAATAAGGAAGAGGGCAGAGTTGCAGACAGGAGGAGAGTTAAGAAGCAAAGAGAGGAGAAGGGCTGTAAAATGAACGATAGCTGCTGAAAGGATAAGTTACCGCGGGAAAAACATTGAGACATCGTAGAGGCAAAAACAGAGGGGAGGAAGAGTACAGGGGGACTGTTGTCAGAAGGGCACAAACAAAGGGTAGAGGAGAGAATAGAGAAGAACCGAGACAAGGGGAGAGAAGAGGCAAGAGCAGCACAATAAACAAGAGGAAGGAGCAGAGAGAAGAGCCAAGACGAGCAGCGAGAATAGGCAGGAACAGCACAGCAAAGGAGACGAGGGGAGAGGAGGGCTGCAAAAGGAATGATAGATGCTCACAACCCAACCATACAGAAACAATAACAGTTAAGGAAGGAACAGTGCAGAGTGGGAGAAGAGGGAAGAGCTCACATTTCATAGTTCGTATTCTGGACCATAATATGCGCCGCCTCGCCTAAGTAAACACTGTCTCGCTCATACAGCCGCACAATCTCATCCCACGTACCCTGCAACCGAATAAGGATAAACCCGGTGGGGCGCAGAGGGAGGGGGAGGGGGCGGGGGTGGGGGGGGGGGGGGGGGGGGGGGGGGGGGGGGGGGGGGGGGGGGGGGGGGGGGGGGGGGGGGGGGGGGGGGGGGGGGGGGTGAAGGATGCGGGGCAGGGAGGAGGAGGAGGAGGAGGGAGAAAAACAACAGTAATAAGCAAGCAACAAAGATTTTTCAAGATCCATTTGCTTAAAAAGAAACTCCATGCTTTAGGCGTTTCAAAATACATGATTTCCAGAAAGCAGATACAATTAAAAGCATCGAAGGCGGGAAGACGGCCCCGATCATCAAGCTGCAAACCCCACTGTGTGGCACTCCACGAGTGGTTAAAAGGGACCCCCCTTTCCGGCCCATAAGTTAACCCCCCAAGAAACATTTCTGAAGCTCTGTATAAGAACAACAACAACCCCCCTCTCCTCTCCTTTTAGCCCATAAGTCAACTCCCCCAAGCACAAATAGGGTTTCGGAGATAATTTTGTTATGGGTCTGTTAAACCACCATTACGTCCGAGGCTGTTTTTACCGATCCGAAATTGTGTTGGACGCCCGGAACAAAAAAGAAAAAAACACCTTTTAGTCCATAAGTTGCCCCCCTTCCCCCCCCCCCCCCCAAGCACTGAAAAAGGCTTCTGGAGATAGGTTTTTAAGGGCTCTGTTAACCGTCTATCCCTGCACTGGAGACAAACACAGGGAATCGCAAGGAGACCACAGTGAAAGAACAGAGCTCGGCACACTTTTGAATGGATGAACAACAAGCTACAAACGCCATTCACCTTGGTTGGCCAGTTTTCACCAAGAGGAAAGAAAAAGAAAATTAGGAAACTTCCCCCTGATGAAAGAGCAACAAGGCAAGCGGACCCGATTCTCCCGGTCTGCCTACTGTCTTCACCCGAATAGAACACCCGGTCTTTACAGCTGTATCTGGACTGAAACTGGATCAAATGCGGCTGTAATGACCGGTCGTTCTATTCGGGTGAAGACGGTACCGGCCCTAACTCTTGTGTTGCTGCCTTCCCTGCTAACACCTATGTCTTTGTAGACTCTTCTGCATGTGTGATTTGCCGCATACAGCAGCCAGATTCTGCCCCCGCGCCCCCCTCCCCCCTCTTTCTTTTAACATTTTGGCGTAAGCCCCCCTCATAATGAATCAGCCCCAGATGAAGTACCCACCATTTTCAATCTTCAAAAGGCTGTTTTCGGCGTTCATACACCAGTTGGTACAGTCCGGTCCTCTACGGGGCTACCGGCCCAAACACCAGATGACCCATCAGAAAAGTTCAGATTTACCACGAATCACCGACGGGCCTAGCTCAGTTGGCACACCCATGAGACTCAAGTTCGAATCCTATCAGATGAACAGAACAACAGCACTCTGGATTACCTGGCACCAGTCAGTTCAATGATGACATCTCAAGGCCGTCACCCTTAAGAAAAAAAAAAGGGGGGGGAAGCTAGGAAGATTCTCACGCCCG